CGTGAGGCGGCTGGGCTCCGGTCCCAGATCTGATCTGAGATGGCGCTTTGGAACATCAGCGCTTCTGCATCTTTGTTTGGGGAGAGGGCACTGAAGTAAAACAACGACTCCTGCTCATTCTGCAAGGGACGGTATTTTGCGATGGGACCACTAAACTGCTTTAAAAAACCAAAACATCGAACAAAACTCTCATTGGCTTCATTAAAACAGCAGCATTCTCCACACGCAAATAGGGCGGGCCGTTATGTGTCCTCAATTAACACTGATTTTAATTTTTTTTAGCTACTAATTCTATAGTTATGTATTTTTTACCCCTTTGTTCAGGGACCAGTTTTCTAAAAGTTATGCCGCAAAATAGAATGCTTTCAGATGGCTTCCTCGGCAACCACATAAAAAAATAAATAAAAGCAATAGGGGAGAGCAAGTGTCTGAGGTCAGTGAGGCACAGTTCATAACAGCTCAAAATCCCTCCTTTCACCAAAATCACTGATTCAGGATCTGTCTCTAAGAAATGGCCTTATCAGAGATATGCAACAGTAATGGGTGGTTTGCCGAGATATGTTTTCCTCTGTCAAAGCTCACACACCAGGATGCGATGCTAGTAATATTCAAGATAGCAGAGTAACTATCATTTTATATGAAGAAAGGCTGTTTGGGCTTTAAGCACTGAGACCAAAGGGAAGATTATTGAAAAAAAATTTTTAAATGTCTCTATGAAAAAATCATTCACATATGGCCTTCCAGAGCATAAGCCCGACACCACATTTCATCATTTTTTGACAATTGCCAAAACTGGGGGAAAGGATAAATAATTCACATACAAATAAATAAATTACTTCATGTAAATCTAACAGCCTAAAATGTTATGAGCAGTAGTAATTAATTTTTTTAAATGCTGACACATTCTGTGAACTCACAGCAAAAAATGTGTTCTTCAGAAAAGTCCCTGATCAAGATCCAAGAATAAACAAGAGTATGATGACGTGTCATGGGCTCCCTTGCAAATTGTATAAACCTTTAAAGAGGAGCTCCACAAAGCATGCAAGGAGAAGATATAGAAGAAGCAGCCCTCCCCAAGCATCAGGGGCCGTACTTCCTCCCTCCTAAGCAGGCACGCAGTACTTTTCCTACTCTAGCCAGAGATACAATACCAATCGTGACAGAACTAGGATTTAATGATCTAATCATGACAGTATCAGCATTTCACAAGCGATATATTATAAATGTTTTTTTGACAATAAACTGACTCAGCATTTTAAACTCTCAACCAGATGAAGCCATAGCTTTCCCCAAAGTTAACAATGAAGACAGATCACATCTGAAACCCACTGGCAAACACGCACGTATGCATCCCTCAAAGTCTTACCTCATCCTTTTGCAAGTGAAAAAAACCCACTCTCCCGAGCTGTCAGGACTCCAGTGGTTTTCCATGAGGTCAAAACCAGAATCAGGCTCCCTCACTGACCCACAAACTCGGAAAAGCAACACATGTACCCAGTCCTGACCTCACTAAACAAAATCGAACTTGGAAGGCACACAGAAGAAAAATACAGTGCTGCATGTCAGAAGTTCCTAGCACACGAGCAGATTATGCCATTTACAACTACTTCACCTTGCAGCCGAGTAGCAAATGAGACCTGTCTGTACATTCTCCAGAATGTAGCCTTCACAGAAGGTGGGCAAAAGAGCCCAATCATATCGGCCCTTCCTTGCAGAGCTACCTTAAAGATAGTCAGGGCTCAAAAGCTCCTATTGCTCCTTAGGGTAGGTGCAATTCAGCACAAATGAAAGACTGGGGGGAGCTTTGGAGAACAAAAGGAGGATGTCCTATATTCAGACTCCCACTAGCAGGGAGCTGCACGGGTCACATTTTACAAGAAAGAACCAGCGATCTTTCAACAACTTCTCTCTTCCCCCACCTCTTATACAGAGATGGCAGCAATCCTCCTGATTCACTGACCTGAGCCTGGGAATAAGGAAATTACACCTTGGTGTTTCCAAACACAGTGCTGGGAATTTTGAAAGCTCTCTGGATGTCTCCAGCCACAGCAGCAGGACTCTACAGGGGCAGAGGGAGCAGCAGCCTCAGCAGCCAATCAGTCATCAGCTGGCGGCCAAGGACCGACCCGAGCTGTCACACTGCAACTCATCCTTCAATCAGAAATCCTCCTCTATCCCATGGCAGAGTCTCAGCTTTATTTCCCTCTTCACACCATACTAAGACCTATCTAGCAATGCAATAACACAAAACCAGGTTTCACACTTTTTTCTGGAGCATGACCTTTCTCTGCCAAAGTTCTGCAGGGCAGGGCAGGGCAAGGCAGATGGGAAGAGAAGAGTGATTTTAAGGAGAATTTAGTTTTAACCTCTTACCAAATGTACTTGGCACTCTATTAAGTACTGCCAAGCTAAATTCCATGGTGTCAACACCCTTCAGCTGGGGGTCTGGCCCTATTTCTCTACACAGGATTAAACAAGTACCTGCTCTGGAAGGAAATATTTGATAGGCATGGATGAGTGTACCTCCTTTTCAGCTCTGTGGTCAGTATGTTTAGCCCAAGCAGAAGCACAGGTAATAGTTGCTATACCACAAGTCTCAGCACAGGGAGAAATGAAGGGTTGTCCCCTGGGTTGTTACGCTACTGAACATCACACCTAGCTATAATAGCTACTCTATATGAAGGAGTAAACACAAAACCAAATTGCTCATCCAGGCTTGTTTCTTTCCAGCCCTTCTGAAACAACAACAAAGAATGTACCCACTCCAGGGACAAGGATGGAACAGACTCGCACGGCTAGCTACCGGTGAAGATACTCTCCCAGATAAACAAAAGTTAATTTAAGCTACGACCACACTTCTGTCAAGCTCGCTACAGTTCTACCATTACTTCCTTAACTGACATGCCAGAGTTTTTAAGAATTTAGGAAGTTGGGAATACAACAACCTCACGAAAAGAATAAAGCAATTTCATAACCAAAGGGAAAACAAAAAGAAATAATTAAACACATTTCCAGGAATTTGTTTTTTTTTTTTTCCTTTACTTTTTTAAAGCTATTTATTGGACAACCGAGGCACTTTAATCTCTGAGCCAGAGGCAATGAATGGTCCTGGCAAACAGCAGCCTAGAAATTGGCACAAAGAACTACCCCACAGTTTAAATATGCTTATTCAGATGCTGTTCAAATTGTGTGAAAATTTAACTGTTTGCGAATTGGTACAGAACCAGCTTTAGGGATAGGTTGGCTACAATTTTCAGTGAAAATATTACACAACAGATGACCAGCACACAGTTTGTTAAAAGAGTTATTAGGGTCACATATGAAAGGCCAGCAGGCAGCATTTGTTGTTGTTGGTAGGGTGTGTGTGTGTGTGTGTATGCTAAAGAATCAAAGTCAGGGTGAGCACACGCTTTCCAAAGCGCTGTGATTTGGCTTGTCTGACTCCAACCTTCCCCAGAGCACTGCCGCTTACCTCTTTGCAGTTAGATGCATATTTGAAAGTCAAGTTCCTTGGCAAGGAAGCCTCTGCCTGAGTTAGGGTGCCTCCATCGGCACTGGGATCCAGCGGATGATCATTTACAATATATGTGCACTTCTCTTCAAAATCAGCCTCTGTCCACAGAGTCATGTCAGCATCCTCCATGTCCATTTTCATTGTCCACTCTCTCCCTTTCACCAGATTCTTGAAACTCACAGCGTCCAAGCTACACTGTGTAGCAGCCTGGAAAAAAAGAAAACAGCCTTTAATCCTCATTGTCCTTCAGTGTTGTGGTTTCCGTTGATACAGTGTGACTAATACAGTAGTCTGTGACACTTTAAAAGCGTATGCGGGATAGTTGGTACAGTTGAGTAATAGCCAAAAAGCAGTGTAAACGAAGCTGCTCTGACTGAAGCAGCACTTTAAAATGCCAGTCTCGGTAGTAACGAGGGAACAAAAACAAAGAGGAGAAAATCCCTAGGCTGTGACAACCACTTTACCTTTTTCAGACCCTTTCCTTAATGCTTCAGAGAGAAAATAATATTCCGTGCTGAAGAAAATGTGGGGTCATGGCCATGAGACCACTTAGTCGCCTGTGGAAAAGCTGCCTCAGAAAAGTGTCACACAAACAAGGAGAGGAAGAGGAAAGGAACTGCTGTCTGCGTCTGAATGAAGCTAAAAATGGAAAGCGCATGTTGGAAGAGCGGAACCCAGCCTTGCCTCTTCCAAATGGGGAAGCCTGAACTTTCCCACCGGCTTTCAACACACAAACAACTTTCAAAACAACCTGGCCCCCCCCGCGTCCTCCTGACGTCCCCTTATCCTTTGGCATGGAAGGCTGAGAAAGCCGACATCCTGCCAGCATCACTGTAGCAGCAGCAGCCCTGTACAAAGCACTGCAACATGTTCCTGGGGGTCAAACCAGAAAAGGAGCATGGGAAATAAATAAGTATTTTTTTAAAAGATATTCTATCCTTTTTGATTTTGATGGTACGTCCTAGAATTAGTATCCCAAAGCAGTGGATATGAGCCTAGCAGAATAGTTTCAGCAAGTCCTTTCAGCCCCTCTGTCTGTTCAGGACAGAAGCACTGTTATCTAACCTATCCTCGAACATGTATTAGGGTCGGGCTCTTTTCTTAAGGTTCCTGAGGAACCAAAATCTGTGCCTTCGCCGGTAGCTGAGAATAACGCTCAATCCGGCGTAAAATCCCTTCATTTTTCCTTTTTGGATGCGCAGCTACTAGGAAATTCACACCCCTCCTCCGGGAAAAACGAAACACGAAGACTGAAAGCGCACGATTTTCCGAGAAAGAGGTTAAGGGCTGACTAACTGCGGGTTCGGGGGAGACCCCCGGCGACCCCCGGGACGGACCCTCCCGGGAGGCACAGCCCGACGAGGCTGGGGCGGAGGTCGCGGCAATACACAGCCCCCTCCTCCTTTCGGCCGCCGCCGCTCCGGACCGGCCCCGTGCCCCGTCCTGGCCGCGGTCGGGGCGAGCAGTGCGACAGTGCCGGACCCTCGGCGTTGAAGGGGAAGAGGGGATGAACAGCGAAACTCGGGCCAGGGGTATGACAGCTGCGCAGCGGAGCGAAAGGGTTAATGCCGGTCAGAGGAGCGCTCCCGATCCGGGAGAGGCGACGAGGAAACTTTTGCTCCGTCCCGCGGGCGCCGGGACGGGCGAGAAGCAAGAGCCGGGGAGGTGGAGACGGGGCTGAGAGAGGGGACGGCATCGCGCTCCTTACCGGGGCAGAGTCCGCGCGCGTTTCCACACCGAAGCCCACCGGCGGCGGCAAACCTGGCTCATTTCTACAGAGTAAACATTTCTCCTTCCTTCCAGCGGCCGGGTCCCCGGGAGACTGACTCACACCTCCAGCCGCCGCTCCCCTCCCGCTCCTCCCTCCCCCGGCTGTCACAGGTGCTGCTGCTCTTGCCGCTGGGGAACGCTGGGGGGCCGCCTGCCACAGCCGCGCTCTCCGCTCCGCTCGCCCCGGCCCGCCCGCGCTCACGCACCGGCCCGGCCTGGCCCGCCCCGCCCTCCGCCGGCCCCTCTCACAGCGCGGGAGGTGGGGCCCTACCTGCGGACCCTGCCCCGCCCAGCCCACCCGCGTTGGGTTTTCTACATCACTGTTATTATTTTATTTTCCCCCCCCTTCCTTTCGGCCCGGTGCGTCAGCTGGGAGAGCCGCGGCGCTGCCCCGCCGCCGGGATCTGCCGGGTGGGCGGGCACCGCGGCGTTTCGCGGAGAGCGCACCTGAGGCAGCTTTTACTAGAAATCTGTTTTCCGTGCTATTTTTAAGCTCCGGAGTTTAACACGTGCCCGCTTTCGTTCTTGCGCAGTTTGACTTGATAGCACTTTATAAAAAATACCAACTTAAATTAATTTACTGGTTTACTGATTAAAAGTCGATTCAAAGTGCTTGCTCCCAAACCTCAGCAATTATAGTACTTTACTTGAGATGACAAATTTGGGAGTTTCAGAATTTTGATTTTACCCCTTTCCAGAGTCTCTAATCAGTGCCTGTAAGAGGAACTGGGGAAAACGTTTCTGTTTCTCCCCTTAAACAAAACCTTCCCTCTTTCCCTTGGTGACAGCAGGGAAGCTCTCAGCAGCAGGACCCGGCGCGCAGCGTTTCCGAGCCCGGTGCCCCTTTCGCAGCGCGGTAAGAAAACGAGCCCGGGTCACGCACGGGGCGATGTGCGAGCGGCCGCCCGGGAGCACACTGCCGAGGGAAGGAGGGTTGGTAGAGCACCCAATTTTTTTTTCCTCCGATCCAAGTCAGCATGCTGGCTGAAGGAAGGACATCCTGTGATGATGGCATACAATGTCCTGTTTGTTTATTATTAAGAGCATTCCTGCTTCTCATTACAAAACAACCAGATGCCTTACTTCCTTCAGTGGTCCTGTCTCTTCAGCAAGGCGTCCTCGGGCTCAGAGGAACGGTGATGCACAATTCCATTTATAGCCATCCACAGCCCAGTACAAATGCTAGCTGCTTCCCTGTGAGGCAACTCTACTACTTTTCCTTCTCCTCACACGTCTGCAAGCATATTTCTTGTCACTTGCCTGGCACTATACGCGGCAGCTAGTTTCACATTCTAAACATACATGCACTTATATTCTAGGATGATCTCGGTGAATTTCTTCACAGGAGAAAGGGAGAAGGGGAGGGGGGGCGGGAAGCAGGTTTATGCAGTCGGGTGCCTGTCTCTCTGACAGCCGTACACAAACCCCTTTCCCTTAACCTGCTCCTCCTCCCACTGATGAAAAGACGTGTGGAAAGGATTACTTGCCATTTTGGGCCTGCGATGCTGAGAATAGCACATCTGTGTAAAGACCTTCCGTGTGTGTGTGTGGCAGGGCTCGTGGCAGCAGACCTAAGTAGGGCAACTGCTCACAAGTGAGTGTCCTGGCTTCACTGCCGCCACAGCGTAATTCCACAGGAGAGGTGGCCCAAGCACTGGGGCTGGAGGATAGAAATGTAATTGGATATACCCTGTAAAACCGAGGCACATCCAAAATGAGGTCTAGGAAGGCTCTGAAGTAGGAAGAACCATTCATTAAAGGAGAGAAATCCGGCCTACTTGATTGGGTTAATTAACTGATGCTGAGTCACACTGCATAGAACAGAAAAACAATGTAGTCATACTGAAGGTGATTATTTTACCGAAAAATAGTCTCACTCCGAGAGGCAGCTGTTTCAGAGCTTTTCACTTCCCTGTTAGCTTGCAAGAAAAACAAAAAAAGGCGGGGGGTGGGGGGGGGGGAGACAAGAAGAAAGGGTTGATGTGTTTCCTTTAGGGGCTGATCTTCTTAATGTGAAGGAGACCAGGGGAAAAAAGCAAATCTGCTTTTCAAGGAACTGAGAATGCTTTTGGGCTGGAAAACAAGAGGAAGCTGAGATTAGATTAGATTAGATCACATCAGATAAAGTGAAATATTCTTCAGGAGGATGCCAGTATCCTGGGTCAGTGTGGCTCTGTCCCTGGAGCCTGCGGAGGTGAGCACAGCCTATGAAGCCTATGGATTTCAAGTAACTCTGTGGCACGCTCTGAGGCTATCCCGAAATTAGCTCCAGGTGTCTCAGTGAAGCTGAACCCAGAACTATCTTAAGTGCAGGAGAAGGGGTATTGCTGATGTGCAGATCCAACCTAGCAGTGCCTGATCTGGAATAAAACTAAGTTTATCAAGAAAAAGAGACAGAAACAAATTGTTAAGAATGTGTACTAAAGTAAGAATCACAGAGGAAGCTCTGCCATTAAAGAAATATATAGAATGACCTTCTGACCTTCCTCCTTAAGAGAGAAACATAAAAAGACACCGTGTTCAACCAGAAGTTATCTGCTCTTTTACAGAAATCGTTTGCACCAGTAGCTGCTATTGTCTGGAATGTGCAATCTCAAAATGTTGCTCATTTCAAAAAGAACAGTTTTAGTAATGTTTTAATTTTTTCCTTGTCGCTCATAGAAAACCTCAATTACTGTATTAATCAGCATTTCTCAGGCAGCTCTCTCTGCAGCAGCTTTCAGCCTGGCAACAAATCATGAATGGCCCTAACAGCTCTGATCTCAGAAATCCCCATCCATTTCCTTTGATGCTATCACCACTTCAGCTCAACAACAAGCCTGTGCAACTCAGCCTCAGCTGCCACTGCTGCTGTTTTCCCTGCGCCTGCTGTAATTGTAAAGGGAAGAAGGAGGGAAGGGAACTGACTCTAATAGATGAAATTTCTTTAAAAAGTTGGAGGGGAGATAAAATGCACACAAGAGATTAAAGGAGAGTCTCATTTTCACATCCTCCCCTTCCCCAAACAAGGTCAGTGGCAGATTGACCACATCAAGAGTAACTACCAGACCCACCCCCATTTCCCACTTCCTGCATGTAGGCATCCTTATGCTGGTAAACATTTGGGGACCAGTTGTGGTCATTATTGGAGAAGGTACATGATGTAGTTGCACGACTGCACATCTTTTAAAAGCCAACTGAGAAATCAAACTCTAAGAAGAACTTGCTTTCAAGTTCTGATATGCACTCAAGTTTTGGGGCCACATTTTTGAAAACATGGTTGCTGTCAGATTCAAGGGAAAGAGAGAGACCCAGCACACGTTAGTGACTGTGCAACAGGAAAAGTTACACTTTGTTGTAAAAGAGAAGCTGCCTTCTCTTCAGACTGGCCTGACCTTTGCAAAACCTGCCTATGGGCTTCAGATATGATCTCAGAGGCTTTGTATGCCCTAGACAACTTCAGCTGGTATTGCCTACAAGGAGAGAAATTAAAATTGCACTTGAATCTACAAGAAGATTTTTGCAAGGGCATTTGGGGTGGTGTGTGCTATAGCCAGGAGGCTTTTGAATTAACACATGCAGCTTTCAGGGACTGCCTTTAATTACAGAGCACCCTGGTCTTTGCCTCGTAGCACTTCCAAATGCCAAACGTTTATTTTTGTCTGGGCTGTGCAATACCAAGAGCAGATCTTTTGGCTGCACTCTCAGCTACTGCCTAGTGCAAGCCTTAGCATCACTTTTGGTTTCTGTTGTTTTATCCTCTCAAGAAATTTTCCTTAAAAAGAGAAAAAAGGAATCAAACTAAAATACCATATCCCTTTTTGTTTCCCACTAGGCCTTATTAAAATACTGCTCAGAAATGACGTATGAATAAGCCAAAATAATTCTCCTCCAATGGAATAAAAACATTCTCACAGCACACAGAGGCGAGAATTAAGCTTCAGCTTTTTCCTCTTGTTGAGGCTTCAGTTTGAGAAGAAGGAGCTGAAGCTGTCTGGGCCTGCGGTCAGGAGGGCAAGAAGGCTTTGTGAGAGGGTGGACCACAGACGTGCCCTTCTTGGTTACCATCAGCCTTCCCATCACACTTCTGAGCAGCAGTGGTCTTGGGAAAGGTAGGGGGGATAGTCAAATGCCCATATAAGAACACTTTTGTTGTCTTTGTGTGTTTCTACCAACACAAGTTTATGCTGGTCAAGAAGAGCTGAGTACAAATTCTACCTTTCATGTCCCCACCTTGGAGTTTTGAATATTCTGTCTATTGTAACTGAATCTGAGGAAAAATTAATGACAACTGGCCAACCCATTCCAACTACTTTAATTACTTTCCAACCTTACTGGTAACAAGAACTGAAAAAGAGCGTGCTTTGGAAAATTTTCATTTAAAATAGGCTGAGTTCCAGACTGTCGTGGAGGAGAGCTGAGATGGTATGCATATATTAGAAGGCTCACTCTTCTGAATACTTCAGACATCAGCATCATAACAAGCTCACAACAAGCTAAAATAATGAAGTCACCTCAGAATTAATTGTAGTATTTCAACTTTCATGTCTCTTCCCAACTTGGCAGTCATGACACTTTTTGGGGTACTCTCTCCTCAACCTGCCTGGTAAGACACAGTGATGTGAACAATGGTGAAACTTCAGACTGTGCTCCTGCACAGTTCAGTTCTCATGTCAGACACTCTCCGGGCTGCCCAATCTCCTGGAGCTGATGAACACAGCAGAAGGAGGGCAAGATCCATGGGTGGAACCATGCCACTTTTCTGACAAAGAGCTGGCCACAGAGCGCATTTCAAAACAGATTAACAAAAACAACAGCTACACACCATGACAAAGTGCATGTGGTGGAAATGAAAATATTTACCCACAGATTATCATACATCCAGCAGTGTGACTACCATGCATTGAGGACCAAATGATTCAAAATAGTGACTGTATGAATCTGGAAGGGTTGGTTTGTAGTACCACTTTTTAAGCTTCTAA